CTCCTCCTCCTCCTCCTCCTTCTACCAGTATGTGTCCGCTAGTCTGTTAGACAATAGAGAAATCATCGAGCCACCACACTGTCAACCTTCAACCCGACCCAGCTCATTTTGTCTGTGCGTCAGTCTGTCTGCCTATCTGTCCGCGTTTACTGCCCACCAACACAATAGACTTCCCTGTTCGGCTGTTGTAAGAGAAATATTATTGATCACGTGTGTTTCAAGCTCTGGTTTAATTTGATTTTTTCCCCACTTGTATTTTGAAAAGAACAATGCCACACTCCACAAAGAAAACGCTATTTGGAAAAACCCTGGGGGGATTAGAAAGACATTGTCCAATAACAAACCTTGAAAAGAATTATTGTTCTCCAAGTGAAATCATTTGAAAGGGACCAGAGCTCGGCTTAAGAAAAAAATCTCCTTGAATCGACATAATGTGTGTTTTACAATCTTCTGTCATACAGAGCCGGGTCACAATGGAGGCAGCATTGATGGGCCGGGCATGTCTAGCTGTTCGTGGCTTTGTTTATGTGTCTTGTGGCTTTGTTATGTTATGTGTCTCATGACTTTGTTTATGTTATTTGTCTCATGGTCTTGTTTATGTGTCATGTGGCTTTGTTTATGTGTATTGTGGGTTTGTTTATGTAATTTGTCTCATGGTTTGTTTTTGTTATGTGTCTCATGGTTTTGTTTATGTGTCTCATGGCTTTGTTTTTGTGTCTCATGGCTTTGTTTATGTGTCTCATGGCTTTGTTTATGTGTCTCATGATTTTGTTTATGTGTCTCACGGCTTTGTTTACGTGTCTCATGGATTTGTTTTTGTGTCTCATTGTTTTGTTTTTGTGTCTCATGGTTTTATTTTTGAGAATGTACAGTAGAGCCGGACTTGGTACAACGTCCATGTATTGCCTGTTTGTGTGTGCCGCAGATTGGGACCATTCCTCTGGCGAGATGTTCAAATGTACTGTCCAACATTTTGATTTAAATAATTGTACTTCCTTAATCTGCGGCACTGGTTGTATGTTCCCATAACATTTTGTCGAAATACGCGTTCTATTTGTAAATGTTGGGTACAAACAGCTAAAATATAGATACAAAATGTAGGTACACATGTAAAGAGGAAGAAAACAACATTTTTTTCTCTCTTCTCTAAAACTTTGCTTTCTGGCCTTGGTACATTTTTTACTACTTGCTCCATGCGCTTCACAATCTGTACTATTACCCCAGTAGACCTGAGAGCATTCTGGAACAACCTCAACTTCCTGGCAAGCATAATATAGTGCAAGCAGCCAGTTATAGGCGCTAAAATACTACTTGCGAATGATTTATCAATTCACGACCCTTGGTGCTGTAAACGGAAAAGTAGAGATCGCCGGGCGACCAATAGACATGTCGTGGTTCCAACCAACCACGTCAATGGTCCGACTTTGTATCCCTGGAAAAGGAACTTTACTCGAATCTTCCTTACTTAACTCAGTTGGCGATAGACAGCTAAATATTTTGTCAGTTTGTTATTGTTTGAGCACCTAATTGGCTGCTTGCATTGTGTGCTTTCAAGAAGCTGAGGGTGTTGATTTTTTAGTGGTCTAGTGTTTCCTGGAGTAATAATATACATTTTAAATCGCATACATAAAAACAGGCTATTTACATCATCTCAAGAAAGTGATTACAAATACAGAGACCGAAGCATACAAACACGATAATCCAACTGAATGAGAGAGAGGGAGAGAGAAAGAAAGAAAGAAAGAGACAGAGAGAGAAAGAAAGAGAGATAAATAGGGAGAGATAAATAGGGAGAGAGAGAGAGAGAGAGAGAGAGAGAGAGAGAGAGAGAGAGAGAGAGAGAGAGAGAGAGAGAGAGAGAGAGAGAGAGGGAGACGCCTCTATAACAAAAGCTAACTACCAAACATAACAAGAACAGAGGAAAACAAAAAGCAAACAAGGAAAAGAACTGGCGCTCATATGACCTTATGCAGTTGCGAGCGCCGTAAAACCCTCTACTATAAAAATAATAATATATGATAAGTAAAGAACAATACAAGTAAGGTTTTGAGAAGTGAAAGTCATTTATGTCACTAAACTGTGTCCACAGAATGTGGTCAGCAAACTCTTTTCAAGGATTATCTCAATGAATACGCCCCCCCTACTTTCCCCACTAACCACAGGGGGGGGGGGGGGGGGGGGGGGGGGGAGGGGGGGGTACATGGTATACAGCATCCCGGTAGAAAAACGGAGGTATTTGATAAAGTAACACGTTGACAAACAGCAATACTTTCAAACAACATGAACTGTTTCGTTTTTAGGGTGGAGAACATAACAACAGCAAACTACGAAACAGCTATCAATAAAGACTCATTTCTCTGAGATTAAACAATAAATACATATAGCCTAAAAAAAAAACCCACAAGGAATATAGTATATTTATGTCATAGATTGCTATGGTAACCTCTTCAACATTCGAGCTTCAGAAATAAATATCGCCTGTGCAGCAGATTTTTACTTCCATCTCTTTTTTTTTACCCTTCTTTTTTCTTTTCCTGTGTCAATTTCCCGTCCGACTTTTGAGCACAGCGTTCCGGCTGAGTTCGTTAAGA